CCTGGCATCGCTACTAGGAACAAGAAGCTACTAGGAGCAAAGGGCATCGCTACTAGGAGCAAGAAGCTACTAGGGGATCCTGGCCTTACTACTAGGAGCAAGAAGCTCTAATAGCGACCTGCCCCCCAATTGGCAATGAACAGAGGTGTACCCACCTTTGTGCCGCTGCCCTCTTGGTTGTACCGATTGCGCAGGGTCAGACACCTAGCGACTCCGTGTTCAAGGGACTAGGACAACATGGAAGGCCCCCTTTCAGAAAGGATACCATTTTCCGTCCCTTCTGTCTAAGTTTCTTGGCATTGCCTGGTTCCACTTTTTTGTCGGATTGGATTCCTTGCAAAACCAGTTCGACCCCTTAAGGCAGCACCTTTTGGCTTTCTCCAGCGTTCGCTCTCACTGCCAGACCTCACAGGAGTTCGTGACCGCTTCAAGCTGCTTGGACACCCACAAGATACCTCAAGCCTTAAGCAAGATACCGGAAATTAGAGTGGTGTGCTGTACACTGTTTGTGCTATGATGTATCTAATATATATATATATTATATAATAGTGGAAGGTCCCTTTGTTCCCCAACCAGTTTTCGGGGAAAGGTAGCTAGTAGCATTTAGCAGCTGAAGCTAACAAAACGGCTGTCGTAGTAGCTGCCTTGAAGAACGATTCGCATGATTGATTGATTTGGTTTCTATATATAGGTTGATAGTAGTAGGAAATTTAAGATTCAGACCTTTCTTTTGATCCTCTCCGTAAGAGACATGTTGCAAGATGTTGCAAGCATGCAGCATCACTCAAGTGCCCTGTGAGGTATCCGCCATTCCTCAGCAATGACCGTGAAGACTTCGCGGCGTTTCTGCATTGGCAGCAGACATCGGAACTGCACACCAGGCCACACGCCGGGGTCCGAGATGGACGAAACTGCAAGATGCTATGTTTGGGCGGGATGTTCTAGGAGCAGCTCAGGTTCAACAATTTGGGAGCGTACCGCACTTGCTGTACATTACGGCTTCAGCAGATTTGTTGGCCATAAGCAAGGGAATGAAGGAGTATAACTCGCAGCTGCGAAATATATCGGCAACATGTTGGAGCTCGGTCTTGCAACGGTTCAGTGGGTCTTCACGTGCAACTCCTGTGGGCATTGTTAGCTCCATGCAAACTGCAGCTACAAGCTGGGTGGATGCTGGAGGCACTGGCCTTCAGGCAGTGTTGGATTGCAGCTCAGACGAGTACGGGGTCAGAACCCTAATTTTTGGAGTCCGGCTTATCATGTCAAGAAGTCTTTCAAAGCAACTCCAAAAATTTGTACTGTATTAAATTAACATAGATCAACTATACAGCTGCAAGCTGATTTCCGAGACCAAGGCATGGAATGCCTTCCGTCTAGAATTCCAGAGCAATGCAGCTCTTGGCTTCGTGGTGAACTGGGAGCTTCAGGTCACTTCTGCCATAGTGACGCCTGCAAAGTGCCCAGTATTGTCAACACTAGTAGCTTCTTATTGCTAGTAGTAATCGCCTCCAACCCAATTAATAGCGATGGCCTCCACCTAGTAGCTTTTTGTTACTAGTAGCTTTTGTATGTGGTTTATTTCCAATTCTAGCTTCTTCTCTTAGACGTTTTCAGACACGCTGGACTGTTACGAGTATCCACGAAGAAGACAAAAGTTTTTGGCATTTATCGATGCGCCTGTGGTTGTGTAAATTCTCTATATACTGCTTCATTTGGTCACAATGTGCTTTTGAAGGGACAAGGTGTGGTACTGGACTTACAAATGTGAGATACTGAAACAGAGAATGCAACGTCACTGAAAGGAACAAAGTGGACGCAATGCAAGCAGTGTGGGAACAAGGTAGAAACAAAAGCTGGTGTATCCCGAGCGGTGGGTCCATCAAGAACTCAAGAGAGGAGTCGAGACGAGTCGAACAGCAGCCTTCCTTGCCACTCAAGAGTCCTCCCATCCACTCCAGGCCATGGCCCAGTCGTTGTGGAATTCAGTGCAAGGATTGCCTGAGAATTTTGCTGCTGCATCTGCACTATTCCATCAGGCCCGATTTGAAATCAAATTGCTGATCCGGGTCAAAAGCAATGCGTTCATGTCAAGAACTCTTCTCATTTTCCCAGCTCGTTTTGTTGCAGAAGGTCTTGCACTTCTTTCACCGGTGCTTGGTCACCTTTGTGCAACACTTGACAGGTGCTCTTAGGCGATGCCCCGCCCGGTTTGGTGCTGAGTTCTGGGCATTGTCACTATGGCCTAGTGTCGGCATTGTTTATTCTTGCGCGACACAGAAAAACAAAAGCAGATACAGCTGAGCTTGCCATGCGAATGCTGGGTGGCTTCGCAGCTCTGGATTTCTTGGAAGACTCAGCATGGCCACTCTCTTCTTTGGTACCTTGGCGACGACGTAATAAAGGAAAGCATCGCTAACTGTTAGTGGCAGCAATAACTTGCATTTATCTACCATGTGAAAGAACACAGCAACAGTGCGATAGGAAGATAAAAGCACGATTTTTGGCAACTGGTTGCAACAGTCATAAAGTAGTTACTGTAGAACTAGATAGAATTAGTATAGATATTGTGAATATTATTTAAGGGCTGCCGCCCCTGCCGCCGACCCCGGAAACACCTCTTG